TAGTTATAGACAATTCTATCGCGATCGTGAAATTAAGCTCGCCAGCTTACCTTATTAGCAGTCGCACGGAGAACGAAAGAAAAAGTTCGTAGGCGTGACTCGGGGAAGCCCGCTTCTGCGGTCGATCGAGCTGTCGATTTCGCCCTCCATGGCGAAACTCCTCATATACGTACGCTTACACACACTCGTCTATGTCGGGCGATGGCACAGTTCCTGTCTCTCCTTATTATTTCGTCTAGGCACTCAGGAAAGCTCGGGAAAACGTTAAATGTCTTTGTTGCAAAGCTCTGCGATCGGGTTCTAATCCTCGACTCGTTCATTTTCATACGCGCGCGTTCCGTCCCGTCGCGTGCCGAATTCCCTCGTCAGATTTTTCCCAACCGGTAGGTGCTGCCCTCATGGGCAGCCGCATGGTTGGGTCGTTAGCGCTAATAAGACGTTTACCGTCACAAAACATTTAAAATTGTGTTGCAAGATAGCGATTCATCTGCACATACACGTAAAATTACTAAAAACGATTGTTACACGATTGTTGATTTTATAATGCAAAAAGAATAAATTACGAATTCATTATTTCATTATGCAAAAACTGTTTGTTGAATTGATGATTTTTATTTTAAATAATGTTCCTCGTATCAGAAGTGATTTTTTAGTGTAAAAAATTGCGATAATTTTATTGTAAATTTTCTGATATTCATTTATCTAACTTTAATTGTTTATAACTTTAAGAAGCGATTTTTCCTTGAGAAACGATTTATACTAAAAAATTTGTCATCTTTGACTTAATTTTTTAAATCATTAACTTTTGTCTTCATGCGCGTCATTTCACGACAAAACTTGTTTAAAAGTTGTACAAATATAAAAAATTATAGGGGCTACTGAGCATGAAATAGAGCCTCTTTTGCGAGTATAAATTCTCTCGTCGCCGCGGCAAAAAGGGACTTCAATTCCTAACTTGCTTAGCAGCGCGACCACTGTTTGGAAATAAAGACTCAGCCATTACCTGAGATCTGATTTCATTACTCCGTGATTAGCCCTGTTATTCTTCTCTCCAATACGATAGTCTAAGAGCTCAACATATAAGACCTACTCTCATATAAGAAAACAGCAGCCTAAGACTATCTCCTTCCTTGATCAAAGTAATTTCGCCTAGGAAAACGACCAAGTATTTGTTGCGATGCTGTCGGGCCTTTCCCCGATAGATGCAACAACACTTAGCCACATTTTAAGCGACTCGTCGAAGTAGCAAACTGCGTAGATGATACTATGTTCGCTGTTTGACGATTGAGTTAATAGCGATTTTGAAGAACACCAACAATTGTTATTTCGGTCATGTCAGGCATTTACTACTATGTGTCAACTTCTTGCTTGCTCTCGGAAACGCGATTTACAAATATATCTTAGAGTCTGAACGTTATTATTAAGTAGCATAAGATAAAAGTTACATTTTATTATTGGAAAAAATAAACCTCCAAAACTATAAATCAAGAAGAAATGAATGATCTTGTGAGAAACTGATGTTTACCTAAGCATAGGCATTATTTAAATATCACGATGAACTAGGACACATAAGCGCTGAGAAAGTTATCGATATTATTAGTAAAAGTTATTAGTTCTTGAAATTAAGATAAAGAGTCGTCGAGTACTTGAAAAATTATTATAAATGTATTGTTTTCATTCAGGCTAGCAATAAAATTAAAGGAGAGCTTCAAAGTATTTCAAAAAGATATCGACCATTTGTTATTATATATATATATTATACTGCTATATCAGGTATTCGCGCGACTACTAAAAAACATATTTTTGTAATAATCAAAAGTTTCACAGAATTAGTTATACTTTATGCAACAAAACAACAACATCGAAAGAAGCTATTAATAGTTTGAAAATTTATTTTTCATATTATAGTAAACCGAAAAACATTGTGTTAGATAGAGAATCATGTTGTACTTCAAAAGAGTTTTCTAACTTTATGAATAAAGTTAGAATACTTTCCATGAAATATTCCCGCTTACTTAGATGAGATATTTGCTAATCTTTGGATCGAAAGAAGAGGCGCGATTGAATGGCCAGCTAGGTCACCAGATTTAAGGCTGTTAGACTGTTTTTATTGGGGTTATCTAAAGAATCAGGTGTACAAAACAAAACCTCGAAGCTTGAAAGAATTACGGCAAAATAGCATAGTCGAATATGCTCTCATTCCTACTGAAACGATTCAAAATGCTGTTAATGCTTTTGATCATTGATTAGCTTACTGTCAAGAAGTGAATGGAGAATAGTTCGAGCACTTAAAGTAAGATATGATTATCACTTCTAATAATTGAGTTTGAGAGGCAAGGGGATTCCCAAAGGAAATAGATTTTACTACGCCCACGTCATTGCTTCTGGGTAACGTTAAATTAAAAAAAATGATCTTACAATGTCGTTGATGATTGAAACTTCATACAAATTGGAGTTAATTTATATCAGATTTAAATAAAATTTCCTATTCTATTATTTATTGTTATTGTTAAAAATAGCCGTTTCCATTAAAAAAAAAAGTAGACTTTTGATCTTGAAAGAGCCGTCGAGGTCTAGCTCAAGGTTAAATCCAAGGTCACCACTAGATTCCTCATAAAAAGTTATTTAAATGATGATCTTCACCTTTTTTAAAAAAAGCTTTTACCTGCAATATTTATTAGGTATATCGTTACGTTTAGGGCTCCTTGTACTGAGGGAGGTTGGGAGACTTATTCACATCAGCTGTTGAGCCAATTTACTGGATCAACAGTACAACCAATAATCGACACTGATATATATTATATATAGAAATTTATATGTAATAATCCTAATAAAATCAAATTTGATATAGCCTACATAAATATCTCGAGAGTTTTTAAATTCTAGCGGCAACATAATAAATTTATAAATTATTCAAATTATTTAGATTTATGTTTTTTTTTGTAAAATGCTCTTAAAGACTCAGTTGAAAAGGTCTTTCTATAAAATTTTTTTTATCTTTCATGTATTTTTTAATCTTTTAATAATAATTATGATATCATTTTAGAATATACGAGGTGTATTTAAAAAGTAAGGTGACTCTGTATTTTTAAGAAAAAATATTTATTTATTTATCAATATTTATGTTGTCCTCTTCAAAGTAATCCCCCTCAGATACAATACACTTATGGCAACGGTTTTTCCAATCCTCAAAGCACTTCTCATAAGCACTTTTCGGTATAGCCTTGAGCTCTTCCAGCGATGCAGTCTTTATCTCTTCAATCGTTGCAAATCTCCGTCCTTTCATAGGTCTCTTTAGTTTTGGGAACAAGAAAAAGTCACATGGGGCCAAATCCGGTGAATATGGTGGCTGAGGCATGATTGTGGTGTCGTTTTTGGCCAAAAAATCTCTCACAAGCAATGATGAGTGAGCAGGGGCATTGTCGTGATGCACAAGCCATGAATTGTTTTTCCACAATTCTGGGCGTTTTCTTCGTATTGCTTCTCGCAAACGGCGCATAACCTTAAGATAATACTGTTTATTGACCGTACGTCCATATGGTAAGAACTCCTGATGCACCATGCCATTGTAATCGAAGAAAACAGTGAGCAAAACTTTGACATTTGATCGAACTTGGCGTGCTTTTTTCGGTCTTGGCTCATCTGGGCTCTTCCATTGGGACGATTGGACTTTGGTTTCGATATCATAACCATATACCCATGATTTGTCACCAGTTATGACCCTTTTGAGAAAATATGGGTCGTCGTTGACGTCATTTAACAGTTCTTGAGCGATGCTCATGCGACGGTTCTTTTGGTAAAAATTTAGCAATTTCGGAACAAACTTCGCTGACACACGTCTCATGCCCAAAATGTTAGAAAAAATTTCATGGCACGAGCCAAGCGATATACCAACATCCTCAGCAACTTCTCTGATAGTGATTCGACGATTTTCCAGAACAATTTTCTTCACTGCTTGAACGTTTTCATCAGTTGTTGACGTGCTTGGGCGTCCAGAGCGAGGCTCGTCATTGGCATCTTCCCGGCCATCTTGGAAGAGTTTGTACCATTTGTAAACATTTTTTTTACTCAGAACAGTTTCACCGTATGCCACCGTCAACATTTCAAGTGTTTCGGAGCACTTTATTTTATTTTTTACACAAAATTTGATGCAAATCCTTTGATCCATATTTTTCGATAGCAAGAAATCGCCGAGCACGCAAAACACTTATAACCTTTACGCCTCTCACAACTAAACAAAAAATACTATACACTTGAAACTTGGTACAGATGTTCGGGAAGAGTGTACTAACATGAGAAAACAAAAAAATCGATAATCGAAAGTACGTTGCCCGTGAAATTTGAAAAGTCACCGTACTTTTTGAACACACCTCGTACATAGCGATAAACATGAATCTTGTTATTATCATTCTTCAGTATAAGATCTATTTGTATAATTAATAAATTTACAAACTTTCATATTTTTTTATATAACCAATATTTTTCTGTATCCCTATCAAATAGTGCTATTTCTTATAACATATATAATTCGTAGAATATTATACTCGTACCTCATACCACTTATTATATCGATCTGAGCGACGATAGTAAAAATTTACTATCAATTTTTTTTTTAATTGTTTTTTCTTTATATATATATAATAGGTTCTTTCAGAAAATTTTTTTTTATTTTTAAAACGATATAGCTCTCTTCTTTATCTTGCGTTAAATAAAACTGCTGTATAACCATTACAAAATTTTCTATTGTGAAATAGGTACAAATTATATATATTATCTATATTGTCTATCTATAAAGTGAATATCAATATATATTCCCTATTTACCCTTTACGGTTAAAAAATATGTATGATTAATAAGCTAACGTCATAAAAATGTTACATCACAGGGATGACAAATTATGTGAAAATTTGTTGTTGATAAATATTGATATATGACATGTTAATGTAGTGTACATTATATTGTAATATTCTTTATTTAACATTTATTTATTATATTTACAGGATGCTATAGTAAAATGAAGATAAAAATTATATGCCGTCAGACTACTCAAAGTTTTTTTAATTTATTTTGATTTGGTCGAAAAAACAAAAAGGATAAGTAATTCACAACTTGAAAATAGATTTAGTTGATCCAAGTCTAAAATGGTTTCTGAGCAAAGTAAATCAATAAAATCTAATGACTCATATCTTTGTCTACTTTGCAATAAAAGATTTGCACAAAAAAGTACTTATCAAAATCATTCACATATCCACGAAAAGCAACAAACCTCTTTTCTTATTTGTAACATATGTAATAAGTTATTCTCTGTTCCAGCACGATTAACGAGACATTACCGAACACATACTGGAGAAAAACCTTACCAATGTGAATATTGTACCAAATCATTTTCTGTTAAAGAGAATTTAAGTGTTCATCGCAGAATTCATACGAAAGAACGACCGTATAGATGTGATGTGTGTCATAGTAGTTTCGAACACAGCGGAAAATTACACCGACATATGAGAATACATACTGGTGAAAGACCACATCGATGTTCTATTTGTGATAAAACATTCATTCAAAGTGGACAACTTGTTATTCATATGCGTACACATACAGGTGAAAAACCATACCTTTGTAAATCGTGTGGAAAAGGATTCACCTGTTCAAAACAGTTGAAAGTGCACTCTCGTACTCACACTGGTGAAAAACCTTATAGCTGTAATATTTGTGGTAAATCCTTTGGTTATAATCATGTTTTAAAACTACATCAGGTAGCTCACTACGGAGAAAAATTTTACAAGTGTATTCTTTGCCAAAAAACATTTAATTCAAAAAAATTAATGGAAGTACACATGAAATCACCAACAAATTGTAAAATGTACGAAATTACAAAATTGAGCACAAAAACGTCCCAAAATATAAGTTTGATGGATCAAATTATGCCATATAATATCAGTCATTCAAAATTAACGATTGAAGAAATAAATCTTCGGAAACAACATGAATTTATAGATCTCCAAGAAAAATGTATTTCAACCCAAGTTACTAATTCAAACAAAATGTTGGAACAGTTGATTCACCATCAACCTTATCAAAATTCCCCGACACATTTTATCAGAGCGTCGAATAAAAGTATAGTAACAGAAAATAACATTCCAAGTGAAATAAAAGAATCTCAATCATTCTCACTTTATTACCGTCATTCACCGATTGATTTGGATAAAATTAATTTACGTGTACAGGGATTAAAACAGTATACATTTTTAACACCAGTCATTTCGTCGACTTTTCAACCTCCTTACCCAAGACATGAAGAAAATAGTTTATCTGAACAGAAAACAAAAGAAAAATCAATAGCATGTAAAAATTTAGCTGAGCATTACGAAGCTATTCCTCAAGTATATACACTTAAATCAGATTCACATACGACTGACTTAGTAATAGACTCAAGAAATAATTCAAGTGTGCCTCCTAGGAAAAGATCTAAAATAATTTGGGAATCTCTTTCATCAGGAAAGTGTGAATTCGAAACGCCAAAAAGAAGTAATTCTGTTATAAAATTTGCAAAAGTAGATAATATATTTTGATAAATTGATAAATATTTATTTGCACTTCAAAATATTTAGTCATTTATTTATAAGTTTGTTTTTCATTTTATAAATTAAAATGTCCTAAAATTTAGTATAAAAATATTTAATTTTCAATTGCTTTTTTCAAAATAGTAATAATCTATAAACTATGGAATTGAGTTAAAATAACTTTGGCTTGAAATAATAATTTTTAATAATTCCATCAATTATCGATAAATCATCATTATCAATCAGTTTCTATCAAATGATAGATATTACTGTTATAAAATAAATATAATAAACTTTATGCAATCAATTCAAATTATTTTCTTTTCAACGTCTATTTATTTTAATATTACATACTATCGAACAACTTTAAATAGTTTCAGAATCATTTATACAGCACTCAAACCTCTAACGTTCAACATTCAGTGTATTTCGACTGCAATCATCATAGCTTTTTGAGGTGATATGATGAATACAAATTCTTTTTTCTGAGATGTAACATTTATATGTATGGCGCTTCGGTTTTCTCGAAATGTAAGAGAGTAGTATCATAATACAACTTGCACAAATATCGGAGCTAGTTGTCTAGAACGCGATGATTCAATAGTGAGGTAACTTATCGCATACTAATTATTTTCATGTGGACCTTATAACATAATAATGAGGCCGCACTAACTGATAACTAGGGCGGTCCATAAAGGATTCTAATTATCTCGGGCTCTACTCACGACGTTGTTGAAAAAGGAGGAATATATGATGTGACACAATCAATGTACTGAATTGAATGAAGCATCTATTAGATAAATAGCTCAGAATAAAGAACAAGGCATATAATGTGCTTTCCGTCTTTCATCGACCTTCCTCGACCTAGTGCAGCATGATAAAACCTTACTTCTTCTACCATGAATTCACGTTTTTCCTGACATAGACTTCCCTTCACATGCTTTTGGGCACCCAATAAAACTCGGCATAGCTAAAAAGTACTCGGCACTAAATGTTGTATATGAAAATATTAACAGACATTTAAAAGAGAAGGTGAAGATCATTCAAAATGCTATTATAGATTTTCAAAACATTAAATTTTAGTTTTTATTACTAATAAAAAAAAAATAAAAAATGTAAAAAATTTCATTTGACTTGAACAGGCTGTAGATTTAGATCCCGTAAAAAAATATTTTCACGAAGAAAAAGAATTTCTTCAGCTGTAAAACAAAATATCGTGCACTTTTTCCGTTAATTTGTTACCAAGTTGAAATATTTTTTGTAAAAAATGAGGGTTTTTAAAACGTAAATACAAAAAAAAAATAAGATAGATAGAAAAAAACTATAGAGAGAAAAAAAGATATAGTTAAATCTATAGAACAATGATCTGTAATTTCATGTGATTTTGAACAAAAAATTTATTTTCGATTTTTATCGGGATATTCGATATTTGCTAATTGACTTTCAAATGATCCTGAACGAAACCGGTAGGGTGAAACGGACATCAGATTTGGATTCAGGAACTCAGATCACCTATGAGTATCTTCATTTCTTTACTAATTAACAAAGATCAATCAGTAATACAGAAATAATTATTGCTTCCTCAAGTAAAATTAATTCCAATTGTGAGAGCCAACCCGTTGTAAAAATAAATCAAACACTCATATTAGGTTACACACGTATGTTTCGTTGGCAGATATCCAACCTCATCAGATCTTTATTAACAATAAATGAAAAAATGGTTACAAAAACAAATATATATAAAGTATTAAAGTATCAAACTCATCTTCCAACTTTCTCTCACACAAATATTCAAATTTCAACTCCGACAACAACTATGAAATATAGTAATGCAAACCGACCGGTGTCTGTTACCTTTTATATCAAAACAAATCACAAATATATACACACTTAAATGTATCCCCTCTCATATGTCGAGAAGAACCGGTACAGTCAGCATCACTGCACATCAAAACAATATTCAAAAACCTTCAATCAAGTCAATCAGATAAAATATCAAACAAACTCTTATATTGCTTACTTAGCAACTTACTATCTTCTTGTCTGTTTATAGTGTTGTCAGATAAATTAATGTATATCATTTCTGAAATCAGTCTCTTATAATAATTCGACTCTCTATCCAAAATTATTGTGTTATCCCAGTCAAACGCATGCGAAGGATAATTTTTCAAATGCATCGGAATAGGAAGAGATTTTTCTATAGGTGTTTTATTATGTTCATCTATGCGTTTTTTTAAACTTCTCTTAGTTTTACCAATATACACTGAAGGGCAACTGTCACAACAAAATTTATATACTATATTTGTCTCATTCCATTTATCCGTTGCATCTTTGCCCAGTTTTATTATACTATCCAGCTTATGATTAATTAGTGGTATACAGATTTGGTAACTGGGCAAAGATGCAACGGATAAATGGAATGAGACAAATATAGTATATAAATTTTGTTGTGACAGTTGCCCTTCAGTGTATATTGGTAAAACTAAGAGAAGTTTAAAAAAACGCATAGATGAACATAGTAAAACACCTATAGAAAAATCTCTTCCTATTCCGATGCATTTGAAAAATTATCCTTCGCATGCGTTTGACTGGGATAACACAATAATTTTGGATAGAGAGTCGAATTATTATAAGAGACTGATTTCAGAAATGATATACATTAATTTATCTGACAACACTATAAACAGACAAGAAGATAGTAAGTTGCTAAGTAAGCAATATAAGAGTTTGTTTGATATTTTATCTGATTGACTTGATTGAAGGTTTTTGAATATTGTTTTGATGTGCAGTGATGCTGACTGTACCGGTTCTTCTCGACATATGAGAGGGGATACATTTAAGTGTGTATATATTTGTGATTTGTTTTGATATAAAAGGTAACAGACACCGGTCGGTTTGCATTACTATATTTCATAGTTGTTGTCGGAGATGAAATTTGAATATTTGTGTGAGAGAAAGTTGGAAGATGAGTTTGATACTTTAATTTTTGTTAATTGGATTGTGATTGATAAATTGAGGTAAATGTTTGTTAGTGTGATTTTTAATTTTTTCATATATATTTGTTTTTGTAATCATTTTTTCATTTATTGTTAATAAAGATCTGATGAGGTTGGATATCTGCCAACGAAACATACGTGTGTAACCTAATATGAGTGTTTGATTTATTTTTACAACGGGTTGGCTCTCAAAATTGGAATTAATTTTACTTAATGAATGGAGAGTGCTACATATAATACATCTATTGCTTCCTCATTTAACTTTCAAATGACATTGTAAAATATTTTTATCTCGTGTGTAATACTATATTCTTATGTAAAAATGAACTTTAAATTCATTTCTCGTATAATAAAATACATAGAATCACCATTGCATCATTTACAATCGATTTTTGAAATTTTTTTAAATGAAATCTCTAGGTTTCAGCCACTATATTGAAGCCTCCATTTTGGATTTCTTAAAATTTAAAAGGGGTTGATCGGTAGTTTAAGATGCTTTAAATAGTTTTTTGTGAAAAAATTTATTTACGATGCTACATAACCGCAAATATGTCAAAAAACACTGTTTTTTACCCTTTTAGGGTAAAGATATCTCAGAAAACCAGACGTGACGAAACAATTCCGAGGCCAGATTTAGATTCAGCGCATCAAAATCTTTTGGGAATACTATAGTTCGCTTGTGATATAAAATCTCGTATCCCTGTGTTATTAGTTATCGTGAGAAGCCAATTGTAACCGCGATTTTTCTTAGAATAGGCTTGCATATCGACGAAATCGTCTTGCTACGTCTTATCTATCATCGAACATCGTACCTTCATCTTAGATAATTACGTCTCGTTGGTTTGTGCAACTTCTTCAGCATCACCATTTCCATCTAATCGACTGTTTTCTAAATTTTGAACACTTGACTTTATTTGTGGTAGTTTTTCTTTGATAATTGCATCCAAATACTGAAGAACACTCCTCAATCACAGTTTTCCAATTTATAGTGCCTATAGCCTGTGGCAGAGGAGCAAGGTTTTCCAATCTTTTGTTCTCTAGATTGTAATGGAACTCACTTGTAAGCTTGAACCCAATACCGGGTGGACCGCGAAGATAGTTGACCACTTGCTTTTTAAATTTACGTCCGAATATGTCGATGTTCTTTTTGATAATGCTCAAACGATAGGTGTGCTCTCAGCATATATATATATATATATATATCACGGTGCGCTGGAAGTGCCTTTGAATCGAAGGTGAAGGGCACATCCAATTTTATTGCATAAATAGATTCTACGGTACTTACTGAGTAACTCTCTGCAAAAATTAAAATAATCCCCAGGGCCGTTTTTATTTTTTTTTAGTTTTAAGCTTAGAAAATCAAATATTGAGACGTACACAAAAATTTGACGGAGCGTGGTCGGTGAAATAATTCGATGATGTAGAAAAAATCGTATAACATTTTATTAACTTGTAACGGAATTATTTAAGCCGACTATTCAAGGGAATATTTTGCTCGCGGCCGTCCGCACAGTATTTATCAAAAGGAGGGCTCGGGAGGCACGAATGCTCCCACGACTGAATGGCACACCGAGCGTGTGTGCCAATCGCGCACGAATTAAAGGAAAGTCGGAAAACGAACGGGTTGACGTAGTAACATATGACACATGTATATATAACAAAATTTATTAATACAACACAATAAAAGAAAATAAAAGGAAAAAAAAACACAAATTAATAAATAGACGGAGCACGCACGCTCCGTCTCACAAATCGGCCTAACACAAAATTCGCTAATCCGCTTAATCCGCTCAATCGGATTATCGGCAATCACTGCCCGATAATCCGACTAAGCCTATTCGCTCGCGAACGCACCCGCGACCTCAAAACCCGGCAACGGGGGCCGGCATCACTGCCCGACCTGCATCGTTGCACCCGCGAACACCCCCGGACATGCAAGAGAGCTAGAGAAGGAGAGGGAGAGAGAGAAAAAAACGGCACCGACCTCGCCGACGGAGACTGTAACAAAAATGGCCGCGCCCGGCCACCGGCTACTGCTCGCTACTGTTACTACCGCTGCTACTCGCTGTTGTTGCTGTTGTTGGCAACCGGCTGCTGCTACCCCTGGTTGTTGCTGCTGTCGACCGTTGTTGCCAACCGGCCGCTGCTGCTCGCTGCTGCCGCTGCCGTCGGCTGTTCCCCAGCCGCACGCCGAACGCGCGCGCGCCGGCGGTACGGGCTTCGCCGTTACCCGCGCACACCGGTGCTGGGCGGCAAGGCTTGGCTGGGCGCGACCCAGCCAC